ATACAACAGGCTGGGTACTTTTGTGTAGGCTCGGGGAACTGGGTTCACACTAGGCCCCCACACATCACTAGTTGGCACTTTTGAAAATGTAAGCCTTCACTTGGACATTCATTTTCCCCCAATGACCCATCACACCCTGTCCCAGGATCAGCTTGGAGTCAAATCCTGGCGTATTTTCTCAAACTAAGCAACCTAACGTTTTCTATTTAGGAGAATCTCAGCTCTCACTCTATGACGTTTGAACTTTTTGGCGTTAACAGAAGCAAACGAGGTCGAAAAACAGAGGGTGCTAGAGCTGAGTATACACTATGAAACGCAGCGCTTGACGTCATTTTAGGGAGCCGCAGTTTTCCTGTCGGGGTTCGCCAATAGCCGCCGCCGCCGGGTGGAAGTTGCTGTGGGACGTTTTTCAGACACGTTCCCTCTCCTGTCAGCTCGCCGGTCCCCTACCATCTTCTGTCCGCGGCCACATCTCGCGAGATCAGTGATCTGTCTGTGGGAGTTGCAGGGAGAGTGGAAGAAGGCAGGCGGCATCATGGCGGACAGAGACAGTGGAAGCGAGCAAGGAGGAGCGGCGATGAGTTCCGGTGGCAGCTCGCTACACCCAGCCTCAGGGGTCGGGGGCTCGGCCCTGCAGCACGAAACCCAGGAGCTGGCCTCCAAGCGCGTAGACATCCAGAACAAACGCTTCTACTTGGACGTTAAGCAGAACGCCAAGGGCCGCTTCCTAAAGATAGCCGAGGTAGGGGCTGGAGGCAATAAGAGCCGGCTGACCCTGTCCATGTCCGTGGCCGTGGAGTTCCGCGACTACTTGGGGGATTTTATCGAACATTACGCCCAGTTGGGACCTAGTAACCCGGACATGGCGCAGGACGAGCCCCGGCGAGCTCTCAAGAGCGAGTTCCTAGTGCGGGAGAACCGAAAGTACTACATGGATCTGAAGGAGAACCAGAGAGGCCGATTCCTGAGGATCCGTCAGACGGTCAACCGCGGCCCGGGCTTGGGCTCTACACAGGGTCAAACCATTGCTCTTCCAGCGCAAGGACTGATCGAGTTCCGTGATGCTCTGGCAAAGCTTATCGACGATTACGGGGTGGAGGAGGAGCCCGCTGAATTACCCGAGGGCACTTCCTTAACTGTGGACAACAAGCGCTTCTTCTTCGATGTGGGCTCCAACAAGTACGGGGTGTTCATGCGGGTGAGTGAGGTGAAGCCCACCTACCGCAACTCCATCACTGTCCCGTACAAAGTGTGGGCCAAATTCGGGCATACTTTCTGCAAATATGCCGAGGAAATGAAGAAGATCCAGGAGAAACAGAGAGAAAAACGAGCTTCTGAGCATCAGCAACAACAAGAAGAAGCCCATGGAGACGATGGAGATGATGATTGATAACTGTATAGAAAAAAAGAAAAAGTTATCTCTAAAAAAAAAAAAAAAAAACTGTAATGGAAAAAAGTAAAAATACATATATCACTGTTAACTCCAAGGGAGCACCACCCACAAAACCTCCACAAACTGACAGATTTTTTTGACTTGTCACTCCCATCGCTGGATGTTGTCCACTTATCCACCATATAAACAGTAAGCAGCTGCTAAAACAAACAAAAGAAAAAAGTAATAACATTATATATTGAACTGTGTTTCCTACTTGATTAAAATATAAAGGTTTGAGTGTTTATTTCCCTAATTAACCAAGAACTTTTGTACACCTGCTATTATTATTATTATTATTATTATTATTACGTGTTTGCAATGTTCAGATTATAAAAAAAAGAATTACTGAGTTATATTAAAAAAAAGGTCCTTTTCATGTGAGCTAACATTTGACTTTAGCACAAAGAGATATTTTAGAACACGTAAATATTTTTAGTTTTCTCATTTTGTTACCAAATTTCAAACCTTACATGGAGGTTGTTTAGAATATTGACACCCTATATACCTGTGATTAGAGATGTGTACATATGAGGGCTAGGCATGCTGTGTGTCTGAGCTTTGTCTAAATGTAATCCAGAGGTTTGTAGAGTTCAAGGTACATAGGTTAATTCATGCAAAGTAAATAAGTGCTCTCTTTTTTACAATATGCATCGCATCTGGACCTAGAGCATAAATGGTCAGTGAAACTTATGTGAACCTGAAACAAATTATTAAAATAGAACGTTTTAAATTAAATTTGCTAATTTGTGATTTTTGCCACTTTAACATAATTTATAACATATTATGTCCTCCATAACTTTTTGTCTTCCTAAATTTGGCAGTTGCTTTCATCTGAATAGAATGTGTTAATAAAATCTAAGAATATGTAAATAGGTTGAACTATATTTTGTATTGTATTGAATTTTGAAGATCGGTTTATTTTGTAGTGTGAACAGTGCCTGGCGCACTGTATAGGGAGTGCCATGGAGGTTTCCTTCGTCCCGCCTATGCTCAGGTTTGCAAATTAAACTGTCGTGGGGCTCCTTAAGGTAACACTAAACTCAGGAGTTGCATTTCAAAAATGCATTGAAGTACCTTAACTATTAACTAAAATGTATCATATTTGTGCATCAGTCGGCCGTAGATCCTCAAATCATCTCTGAATTTATGCTGACGCTGTCCTTCCTTCTGGAGGGTGGCTACTTTTGTTCCCCATTGTCCCTGTGTGTGTTGTAAAGTAGCCACCACTCCAAGCTCGCTCTCATGATGGACTACAATGTCATGTTTAGTTTACTAATTTGTATTGAGATTCGTAGTCCATCACGGGAGTGAGCTTGGAGCGGTGGTTACTTTACAACACACACAGGGACCATGGGGAACAAAATAGTTAAGGTACTTGAATGCAATTTTAAGATTTAACTCCAGAGTTTTTAATTTCACTTTTAAAGCGTATCTAAAATCAAAAACATGTAATGCTGCTTGCTAATCATTTTAATATGGTGGCGGCACTAGCTTTCAAAATACCTGAACAATCTGATTAGATGCAGGCATTGTTCAGGCATTTTGGGAGCCAGTGGAGCTGGCTAGCAAGATACTGAAGCTTGGCCCAGAGGGAGTTTCCTCCATCCACACAGTTTAGCGTAGATGGAGGTTGTGCTTTTTCCATCTGACCATAGAAAATCTATAGGTGTATGGCCAGCTTTACACTCCCCTCTCTACAGGGTGACATGGTGGCTCTGTTGCTCCTCCATAGAGTGGAGCCACACTAAGACATGCTGCAACACCAGGTAAAATAAAGGGAAAAAAGGCTAAAAGAAAGAAAACTATTGCAGCCACGACATTTAAGGATTGGTAAGCTGCGATATATAACATTTTTTGCTTTTGAGTTTAGGTATGCTTCAATGTTAATAAAGCCCTGCTGATCGCATCCAGCTAGGTTTCATTCTTTTTGAAATGAAAGAAGCAATGTGGTTGTTGCCATATTTTCTTCAACTTTTATAAATTAACTTGTCTGTTTCTGTGGCGATAACAGTTAAATTAAGGGACTGCTTTCTGTCTTGACAATCCATTCGTACACAGTCAGAGCCTCCTACTCAGTATTTTTTTGTCACTCCTGAGCAGAAGGCAACTTTGAAAACCTTGATGTTTTGCCATTTATACAGCACCTTTAACATCGGGTGCTGGGTAAAGGATGATGTTTGGAGCTGTCTTCTTTTTAAAGGGAACCTGTCAGGATAAAAAGTATGAGAACTGCCATTGCCACCTTGCTTGTAATAGTGCAAGCTCCAGAGGTGTGTCACTACTTAAGGAGTTACAGTTACTGAAAATAACTATGGAACTTGTAAATTTTGCTCTTTGGCAACTTTTTCTAGGTCAGTAACTCGCTTAAAGGTGTTTCAGTGAAAAAGAGGGCAGCATGAAGCTTATGCTTTATAAGAACCTGTTGTGAGAAAAATGTAGGGACTCTTTGCTGACCTTTTCCATATTGTGCTAGTTGCCTGCAAATCATGCAGATTGTTATCTGAACCACTGACATGGAACAAGCATGCCAATATTGAAACCAGAATTCCTGATCTGCTTACTTGTTCCAGTTCTGGGACCTAAAGTATACGTAAAGCCCAAACTACTTTTTTTTCTTTCATTTTGGATAAAGTGGGTTTTAGGGCTAAAATATGTATTTTTTTTTTCATGTGTGTCCCATTTGAGTGATTTCCCTTCCTATCATGTAGACACAACTGCAGGAAGCTGGCCATACACTAATCGATTTCTTTTTTTTCACCCAGCGTGCTGAAATGAAAGAAATCTAACAGATTCCTCGTTCCAAACTTAAGAACAGGAATAGAGGAATCCCCTGTCTGCCCTGGCAGGTTTTTTACCCACCAGCTAATTGGCTGCAGTCACTGTTTTTGCCCGACTCCTTCAACAAGAGTTGATTGAGTAATTTACTTTTGTCTGCCTGCAGGGCCACCCACTGTTAAAATTTCGGTTGTTTGACAGGAATCAGCTGAATTTCTAACTGTACAGCCAATCTCTCCTGTGAGGTAAATTCCCCTTTAGATATCATTTTCTTAACCTTTTTGCCAGGACAAATAGATTGAATCTCTCTAGCCGGGACACAAACAGTTTTTTATTGCTGACGGGTTCTAACCCTCCACGGCTTTATCTCTATAGTCAACAACAAAAAAAGGTTTTGGTTTTAGGTACACTTTAAACTCTTGAACTGGGCACAGACAACTAGCATTTTAAGGAGGTGGTCAGTGATCAAGTGCATTCAATTCTTACAGTACAATATTATTTTAAAAGCCAGCAATCGCAATTGTATTTCTTTTCAGACAGATTCCATTTAAAATAATATTTGAATTTAAGTACAGAAAGCATTGGTAAAGCAATGTTTACATATGTAATTTATAAAGTGTATCTAAAGAAAACATTTTTTGTTTTGAGTAGAGGAAGGAGATAAGAGAGCTTCTGCTAGGTCATTGCTGTCTTTGTCCCTGCCTAATAGACTCATCCTTTTTATTTGTTCTAGTGACCGATGTCACTAGAACAGAAAACAACAAGAAAATCTCAAATTTTGTCTTCCAATGGGGACACTTGGTTCAGTGGCAACTACCTAAGATGTGTGAGAAAATGTATCAGGACAGGATGTAAAGGGAAATATTTAAAATGGGAAAAGGTGACGAAAAAATAACTAGAGATTTAACCATGACCTTCTCTATTCCAAATTGAAAACAACCATTTGGCCATTAGATATACTTTAAAATAAATAGTCCGCTTAATCTTTAAATTTCAGTTTTGGGTAGATGCTTCCTGGTCAAATTGTGTACCAGCACCATGTCCCCTGGGGAATTTAATAGAGAGATTTCTGCACCTGAGTTTCTATGTCCATCCACCCACTGTGCCCATTAGGCCCAGTTCACACCAGAAACTGCATCACAACTGCGTGCGTCTGTGCAGTTGCAGTGCAATCTGTTTTGATGCGTTTCTGATGCGTTTTTTTCTGCACTAGAAAATGCTAATTAGAGAATTGGGTCACTTCCTCTTCCGGTCAGAGCATTTCCAACATTTGTTTTGGAGATCAGACATGCTTTCTTTGTTGGCTGGCATGGTGCTAGTGTTGGCTATAGCCATTCTCCGACAATGCCTTCGCAGGCGACGTCAATATTGGGTGCACCCGCTTTTCAGCAATCTCCCTCTACTTTGCCATCTTCTGGCGATTATTCTTATATTGGGGATGTTTGCTGTTGTACAGCAGGGGACAGTCCCGCACATATTGGATGAAATCATCTGCATCCACAAATTCAATCTCTTCACTTTCTCTCCACACTACAAAGTCCCCGGGTGATGACATAATCAATTCTGAGTCTTTTTTTTTTGTATGCGTTCCGGTGCGTTTGTGTTTGCACTGCGTTTTGATGCAGGTATTTTACAAGCAGTACTTTTTCTGACTGCACCTGAACCGACTGCAATGGTGTGAATTAAGCACAAGAAAGCCCATAGGAAAGCATTGTGATGTATTTTGACTGCAGCAGTCAAAATAAACGGACTGCATCACAACTGCATATGGTGTGAACTGGCCCTTGGAGGGAAGTCTCTTTCTCCTTGCTGGATTTTTTATTAATGTTACACCAAGGCTGGACAAATCCCAGGAGCCAGGTAGCCAATGATCCTTAAAAATTACATCTAGTACCTAACTTTTTAGGTTTTTCTCTAATTGATGTCAATGCAGCTGGCACCTAAAAAAAATAAAATAGTATATATATATGACTCCTGAATTAATTTGTTCACCCCTGCGTATGAATGGTTAGAATTTTGTATGAACATTCATATGGAAAATCTCTTAATAATGCCATCAGAGACTTGGTGAATGTTGTTAAAACATTTTTTGGTTTTTAACTAACGATTTTGGAATTAATGGAGTTTCTCAATAAAAAAACACAATATTTTCATCCCGCCCCTTCAATTCTTTTCGGCACTACGGTCATCATTAATTTGACCCCATTAACTGTTCAAAAACATTTTTGTAATTATTTTGTAACAAAATTCTAACTATACCCAGGCTAAAGCAATTGCAGTAGGAAGATTCAAGCAGACCTAGATTAAAAAAAGATGCCTCACCGTGGATTATTTTTCATGGCTCAGTCACCTAACTCCCACAGTTATGTTTTTTTTTTTTTTATTCTATGCTGTGTGTGTAGTAGTAACTGAGTTACAGATTTTGAGGGCTTGTTCCCACCATGTCTGGATCATGTCAGAACAGTTTGTTCCCGGACCAAAAAAGCATCCCAATGTATCCCTATGGTATTTCTGGGCTCTGTTCACACCAGTGGAGTCCATTCCGGACCAAACAAAACAAATAC